AGGGACTAATTTAATTAGTTCTAGTGTTGGGTATACTCTACATATAATATTATTCTCTCTCTATCCCAGGCCCAGAGGGACTAATTTAATTAGTTCTAGTGTTGGGTATACTCTACATATAATATTATTCTCTCTCTATCCCAGGCCCAGAGGGACTAATTTAATTAGTTCTAGTGTTGGGTATACTCTACATATAATATTATTCTCTCTCTATCCCAGGCCCAGAGGGACTAATTTAATTAGTTCTAGTGTTGGGTATACTCTAGATATAATTTTATGCTCTCTCTATCCCAGGCACAAAGGGACTACTTTGGCGCACACACCTACCAGCTGTTGTCCACTCCGGGGAAATATGTCCACACAAACTGGACTGGACATGGTGGAAATGTCTCCTCTACCACTTATCAAGCATAGGGGGCAGCACAGGTTCAACACATATAGGACTGGATGTATAGCAACAGCTTCTCTTCTGCTACTAAGAAAGCATAGAGGGCAGCACTTGCCAAGATGGACTGGATATGGTAGAAATGTCTCTGCTATCATTTACCAAGCATAGAGGACAGTATATATACAAAAATAGTTCTGGAAAGACATGTTACTGCAGCTCTTCTACTACAACTCAAAGCATGTGCAACACTTTTGTCAAGTGAACTAAACCCAAAACAGAGATAAAGACTGGTTATTTTTTAAAATTCTATTTTATTTTTTCATTATTATTATTATTTTATTTTATTTTATTTTATTTCATTTTATTGTTTTTGTAATAATGAAATTTGAAATTTAGACCTCAAAAATGGATTTTGAAATAGTTATTATTTCAGCTGTTTTAGGTAGGAGATACCTTTAGAATTTGCAGGAAAATTATTTTTACTGTACAGTATAAAAGTTTTTAATATGTTTATTTCTGTTTAAAATACCCACATGTAAAAGACAGCAGATGCAACCAAAGGTAGAAAGTAAAAAAAAATATAATAATAACAGGTATACTGTTTCATTGCAGGTACTACCAGTACTGAGAGTAAAATGGCTGCACTGATATCACAGACAGTGTTTGCTCTGCGATCAAATTTCTTTCACGAAAATGTTTAATAACTAAAGCTTACATTATCAGAAATTCGAACAAAAAAGGTTTATGGTTTACAATTTAGAATATATGTTTAGTGTCTGGTTGATTTTTTTTTAGAATTAATGAACACTGCCAGAGAGAAGAAACTTTTGAGTAATTTATAACATGTTCAGTCACAGGTAACAAAGACATGTACATGTACATTTAGGTGTAATGTTCTTACCGATGTTATGTTGTCTATTGTTATCTGGAATAATGTCTGAGATGAGAAATAAAAAAAATCAGTATTGATAAATTGACTGTTGATTGAAATAAGCAAATGTTTCCACAAAAGCCAAAGTCCTCAATTATGACTGAAAATTAGTGCTCTGTAACAGTCTTATACTACAGTAAAGTGTGTAACACATTTGAATTTTATGTGTATCTGAAGATTATAAAATAACACTGACATTTACTTGCGGTTGGTGTTGTTATCTTCACTGTTCACATGAAGGTTATACATGTGACTTGTCATAAGTTGTCAGAGGTTCAATGGGTAAATTCATTACGATAATAATAATAATGGTTTATTTTTTATGTAAAAATGTAGAATCCACACAATATCTAGTACACTCCACATAGTAACAGACTAAGAAATCAAACTCCATTAATCTGTAGTAAATTGAACCCTATACCAGGGCCACTGATTGATTTTTACAAGGGATATGTCTCTGGTTAAATAAGATGGCTTATCTCAGCAAATATGTCTACAATAATAACTGTGGCCCTGGTAGAGGATAAGTAAATTGCACCTGTAGTTAAAACTTGCGTTTTGAAGAAATAGAATTATAGACTGAATGGTAGTCTGTATATTATTATATTAAACATATTGCCTTTAACTTTTTCATGATTTCTAGATAAGATAATATAGCAGAATTATTAATTACTTTGAGATACGATAGTAAAACTCATTCACTTAGGCCTTGGACCTACATCGACTCTAGACTCTATTTAGGTCCAAGCTTAGGCACATTTATATGAGCTGCCACTAGAGTCTCTAACTTCCTAGGGGAGCAAGAGTGTCCCTTTGCCTTGGTAACAATTTCAGGCGCAGTGGAAAGAGCCCTCGTTCCGGGTTGCTGTCGCCACGTTCTCTATATTCACTGCACGAACGTACTTTTTCACTTAAGAAAATTCATGAACAGGAGTGTTTGTAATTTAAACGGACAATTTAGACAATAAAAATCTCAAAGAGACAACAGTTCGCCCCCCCCCCCAAAAAAAAAAAAAAAAGAAAAACTCTACTCTAAATCTTACAAATAAAAGACACCGTTTCCGAACACGGCGCGTCGTTCCACTGAGTATGGTGGGTTTCCCTTGGCTGACTGTACACCATCATACAGTTTTCGTTCGTTCCGCCATTCGGTTCGTCAGTTCTCCAATTTGTGAACCCAACGGAGGTGCCCGGATGTTGCCACACCCACTGGCCGTCTGTCTGTTGGTCGTTACCGCTTGTCCAGAAGTTCCCTGTAACAGGGGTAATAGGGGAATAATAATAAAATTAATAATAATATAATGATATAATGATATACATATTATGTCATACATTTTATCCACTGGCCATGGCCGTCGTGATCAACATAATTCATTCCTGATCCACTAGTAAAATGCGTACAAACAATTCTGACAGTGTTTTCTTTTATGATATATACATGTAGGCCTATTAGTTGGCATTTTCGTATGTTTTTACAAAAAAGTATGCGAAACCTGTTGTTTACACAAGGACTGTTTATTATCATTATCATTATTTATTTTATTTTATTTATTTATTCATTTTATTATATATATATATATATATATATATATATATATATATATATATATAATCAAAGATTAAAAATTTGAATAGCAGCTTCATTGAAATTATATTTACCTCAGGCTCTGCCAAGGAGGTTATATTTTCACCCCTGTTTGTCTGTCATCAACATAACTCAAAAAGTTATGGACCGATTTTGCTGAAATTTTCAGGAACTGTCAGAATTGGGCCAAAGAGGACAATGATTAGTTTTTAGT